CCTTACAGCCAAATAATATGGAAGCATTTTCTCAATTGAGGTTCCCTTCTTTTCAGTGACTCTAGCTTGTGCCAAGTTGACATAAAACTAGCCAGCACAAACTGGAGAGATGGCTCAGCGATTAAGAGCTCTTGCTGCTCTTGCAGAGGACCCAAGTTCAGTTTCCAGCATTGTTGGGCTGTTGACAATCATCTGTAACTTCAGCTCCAGGGGATTCGACAACTTTTTTTGGCCTCCACAGGCATCTGCACTCAGGTGCACATGCCCACACACAGAGGCATATAAATAAATATGTAAATTTAAAAAATATTAGGTTTTCCTTCTTGCATTTAATCTAACATAGCAATATTATATTTGGTTATTTTTAATTGTAATAAAGATCTTTTTTATTTTAATAAACATTTTCAGAAATTCCAGCTTTCTATCTTGTGTGTGTGTGTGTGTATACATGCATGGTGTACATGAATGTGTAAGCTGTGTGTGTGTGTGTGTGGAGAGTGTCAGGTGCCTTTTATCACTCTACACCCTGTTCCTTTGAGGCAGGGTCCTTCATTGAACCTGGAGCTAGTCTGGTGGCTGGCCAGCAAGCCCCATTGATCCTCTTGTCTCTACCTGACCATCCCCCAGCACTGAGGTTATAGGTACACACATAACCACCTTTGGCTTTTTAATGTGTGTTCTGGGAGATTTGAACTCAGGTCCCTATACTTGTGAAGCAAGCACTCTTACCTGCTGAGCCATCTCTCCAACCCCTTCAAATACAGTTTGAAACGTAACATGCTTAACTATATTATAGAATATGTTTTATTCATGACTCACAAGTTTCTGTTGAGTTAAGGAAGCAGCTAGAACTTCTCCCCACATATAAAGCTAAGCACTTGTAGTAAGCCAATTCCTAGTTTGTTTTAAAGGGAGTTATTTTGCCAACGTGGCACTATCAAAACACCAGCACTCAGGGTCATGTCACTGTGTTGCATTACCCAAAGGATTTCATTCTGCCTTGGACCTTCTTAGTTCTGTTCTGTCTGAAAAAAATATTGATCATATTATGAGACTATTCTTTCATAAGTAATTTTACATAAAACCAAGGGAACTGGGTGAAAGGGAGCACCCTCTAAACAAAAGAATCCATCCCAAGTGTCCGGTTTCATAGGCAAACCTTTCGGCTTAGATTCTCAGGTGCTGTCATAGCTCCATAGTAGGTAGAAAACAAAAAAAACCAAAAAAACAGCTAAACCAGAGCCAGCCGGTTCTGTTTAACCGTAAGCTACTTTGCATATTTTCACTAAATGACCACCTATAAGTCAGGTTCAGTCAGCCTCAGCCTCAAATACAGCATCTTGAACTACAAAACAGGTAAGAGACGCTTCTCTGCAGTGACCCACAGGGAGACTACAGAACAGGATTCTTAAGGAAAGCCCCAGGCACAGCTGATAAATGTTGTCATCAATAGGATGCTATTATCTTAAGCCGATGATGACCCTAACCAAAGGCCCAGATGGTCCCAGCGAGGAATCTGATGAACTCAGGTTCTGGCATCTGGCAACAGTATTGTTGCTGACTTTGAAACTGTAGCAATTTATCATGGCCTCTGAGGAGGGAGGGAAGAAGGGCATCTCTAAGCTTCCCCCTACCTCTCACATCCCAAGATTCAATTGTATGAGCAATGGTGGCATTTTATTTTTTTACATTCCAATTTTTTTATATTATGAAAGTTGATGTTTTTATGCTCAGTGGAGCATCAAGAACCTCTCAGGATTTTATCATTAAAACCTCATTATTTATTTCCCAGAAGAGCTCTAAGACAGAAACCTGAGATGTTACCAAGATAGGTGTGTTTGTCAGTCATGTGTGTATTTGGAAGCCTGGAATAGTAGCATAAATCCACTGCTTTCTTTTGAGATAAACTTGTGCTCAATTCCCTCATACACTCAGCCAAACCCCACTAGGCTTCCTGTCTTTACCCTCTTCATGGCTGCATGCTTTCATCTTCCTAAATTTTATGCATAAATTCTCTTGCATGAATGAAAAGTGACCACACTAAATGCCCCTGCATGAGGGAGGGCTTCTTGGAAATGCTTGCTAGAAAAGCCTCATCATCAATGTGTTTTCAGACATGCCAAGCTCTAAGAATTATTCAAAATCTCACTAAAACCTAGAATCTCAATTACCTGTGTGGTATATACAAATTACTCAGATTTCATCTGGGTCAAGAACTAAGATATGATTTAAATTATTCTTCAGGGTAAAACCATGACTCAAAATAAAAATTCTGCGTAAGTGGCTTTAATGACATCTGCTTTACTTTTGAGGAACCTGGCTGTTCTGGTTTCATCTTAGTTGCTGTGATTAAAAACACTACAAACAAAAGCAACTTAGGGGGGTAAAGGGGTAAAGGGCTTATTTCAGCGTACAGTTACTGTCCATCATCCAGGGAAACCAGGGCAGGGGCCCAAGGAGCAGGAACTTGAAGCAGAGAACATGTAGGAACACTTGCTTACTGGTTCACTCTCTGGCTTGCTGGCTCATACTTAGCTAGCTTTCTTCTGAAGTCCAGGATCACCTGCCCAAGAAATGGTGCCACTCACAGTGGGGTGGGTCCCCTACATCAATTAATAGTCAAGACAATACCCAAGGGGCTGGAGAGATGGTTCAGCTATTATGAGCACTTGCTACTCTTGCAAAGAACATGGGTTTGGTTCCCTAAAAGATATCAGGGCACACCCAACTTCCTGTAACTCTAGTTCCAGAGAATCTGACACCCTCTTCTGGCTTCTGTGGATACCAGGCACACATGACATGTGGTGCACATACATACATGCAGGCACTCATATATAAAATATGAAAAACAAAACAGACACTATCCCAATACAGGTCCACAGGCCAATCAGATGTAGACAATTATTCTCTCAGGCAACTCTAGTCTGTGTCAAGGTGACAGTCAAAACTAACTAGGACAGTGGTATAGTTTCATTTAACTTGTCAGCTGAAGACAAAAAGGCCATTATTAAAAATAGGTGCAGGCTGTATTCCCATTTGCCAGTTGTTGTGTTTTGACACAGGGTTTCATGAATCTCAGGCTAGCCTAGGATGACCTTAAACTTCTGGCTTATTTGGTGCTGAGCTTTGAATCCAGAGCTGAGCTGCATGCCCTGCTCCCATTTGCTGGATTTGTGGCTTTGTCATACCTGCCCTTTTCTCTTAGCCTTTGGAATTCCTGGCTTGGGAATTTCCTAACTAGTTTCCTCTCTCAGCGACTTTTTCTTTTTGACAGAATTTTGGCTGCTGTTTAATCTTCCAGAGATTTTTGTCTTATGTAAGTTATTGTGGGTCATTTGGTCACTAATTTGGACTCTCCCACTTCCTGTTGCTCTGTTTTAGTTTTCAGTTGGCACTACATCATTTATCCTCCCCCAGCCTCTTTAGCACATACTATTCCAGGCATTCACTCCTTTTCCAGCCAGTCCCACGATGGCTTCTTACAATCCTTCCCCTTCTTGACCTGCCCTGCAGCCTGAAGCCCCCAGCCCCTGCAGCCGTTTCCGATTCTAGTTTCTTATCAGAGGCCATACCTAGGCCTTTCACAAAGATGGAAACACATTAGAATTTGGTATTAAACGCCATTCCTTCCATCACCCAGCAAGATCTGTAGAATTAATTCCTGCTATGCTCGGGTAGAGAGAATCCAGTGCCAAGTTACGTTTGGTGGCACATGCCTGGAATCCAGCCCCAGCCATCTAACAGATGTCAGGTCAGCAAATACACAGCAAGATCCAGTCTCATAAATACAAACAAACGGAGAGAGTTGGTGGCACATGCCTGGAATCCAGCCCCAGCCATCTAACAGATGTCAGGCCAGCAAATACACAGCAAGATCCAGTCTCATAAATACAAACGGCACCAGCGTTATCTAGTCTTGCCTATAAACATTTAGTTTGTTTGCTTTTGCTTTGCCTCTTTTTTGTTTGGAATGCCAAGCCTGTGACTCCTAAAGACAATGGAAAATTACTCCCTGAGAAATTGCCCAAGAGCTGCCGATCTGCTGTCTGAGGCCCATGGTAGATCACCTGTGCTGTAATCATAGACATGCTGAGACCTCAGCAACTGTGCTCTGAAGACGTTATGTTTGATTATCCACTGTGGGGGAAATGAAAACTAGGTTTTCTATTAGGTGTAGAGAAAGAGAGGCTCCATAAGTATCCGTCTATGAGGAAAAAGGAAACCAACTAATTCCAGGACTAATGCAGTGCTTGGACTTTTAAAATGCAAACCTTTTAACCACTGCAGGATAGTCAATACCTACCTGGATATAGAAAGCAAGGGAGGCTCAAAGAGGTTTAAGAAACTTTAAGGGAAAGAGTAAAATCAAGACTGAGCCCCTAAAGGATTTACAGTGGAAATGCAGGCACTCCTTCCCTGCCTCCTAGGTAACTGGGTAACAACAGTGTCCCTAGGATATTCATTGAGCCTGCTTTATATAGCCAAAGTCCAAAAAGTAATGGCTATCTAATGCACTTTACTGACCATGTGCAAGGTCCTGGATTCAGTGCCTGGTAACACACACACACACACACACACACACACACACACACACACAAGCGGAGGTGGGTGAGAAAGAGAAAGAAAATGTAATAAAATTCTTGAAGGAGAAAAGGAGGGAGTCTTCTCTCCCTCTCTCCTGTTTTTCCTATCTCCCTCCTCCCTCCTTTTCTTTCTTGTTAGTGGTGGTAATGTTTTGAGGTGGTTTCACTATATAGCCCAGGCTGCCCTTGAACTCACAGCTATTCTCCTGCTTCAGCCTGTGGGGTGCTGGAATTACAAGTCTCAGCCCCAGCCCAGCACCTCTACACAAGTGACTATAACCCTGTTTACTTTCTGTATGAGCACCCAAATTAAGCAGAAGTCTGTAAGACATGAATGTCGAAGAAAGTAGACCAAACCGGCTCCTTTTGATTTGGCCAAACTGATAAGCACACCTCTGTTTCTAGGTGAAAGAGGAAACGATGGACTCTAGAAGCTACTCCAGCCCTCCAGACAGGCTCTCGGTCTTCTCCGAGTCTGCCCACTTGCCACCATCCAGGCCCTTCTACTTGGACCCCATGGTCACTGTCCACCTGTGCCCCGAGACCCCTGTGCCATCCCCTTACACGGAGGAGCTGCCTCTGCTGCCCTTTTCCAGCGATACTCTGATCATGGACAATTATGGGGACCCGTACCCCTTCCCCTTCCCCATGCCTTATGTCAACTACAGGCGCTGTGACTACGCCTATGGACCAGCCTTCATCCGCAAGAGGAATGAGCGTGAGAGGCAGCGAGTCAAGTGTGTGAATGAAGGCTATGCCCGGCTGCGCCGGCACCTGCCCGAGAACTACCTGGAGAAGCGACTCAGCAAAGTGGAGACCCTCAGAGCTGCCATCAAGTACATCAGCTACCTGCAGTCTCTCTTGTACCCAGATGAGACTGAGGCCGAGAGGAACCCTCGAACCACCAGCTGTGGCCCCCTAGACCCCTCTTTCAGAGTCATTTGAGTTGGTGCTTTCCAAAATGGGGTCTCCTACAGCAGCATCCAGTAGATTGTCACACACATGGTTTTGGGGAGGGGACAACAGTAGTCCGACTACCAACCTTCATTAAATGTTGCTTACCTGGGTTTCAGATGTACTGAAGTATCTCATGTGGACTGAGAATCTCATGCTGGCCTCACCACTCTAAGAACGCCGAGGGTGCAGAGTTTCCAGGGGTCTCTGCACCTCCCACCCCATTCTTCTTCCAGCCTTGGCCAAAGGCTCTCTCCAAAGTACGGAGAGGCTGAAGCTTGACTACTCGGTGATTGTTTCACACTTGGTAAATATTTGTTGATACCATTTTCCTGTCACCTGTGTCAGGACCACCCTTAATTTTCATCCCGGATTCTACCCTCATTTTGTGAAGTCGTTTCTTCGTCTTTTTGCACATGATGTGTGTGTGCATGATGTAAGGCAATGTGTGTACATGTGTGTGAAGCTCTTAAAATATCGTTGCTCAAACCGATGGGTACTGTTGGATTACTACCTATGAATGTTCCCACTTAGTTTATTACTTTGTGGGCTTTTGTTTGTTTTGTTTTGTTGCTCTTACTATGTAGCTCTGGCTGGATTCTAACTCAGAGATCTACCTGCCTGTGCTTCCAGAGTCCTAGGATTAAAGGCATATGCCACAATGCCTAGCTCTACTTGGCTTTCAAAGAGTTGACATCCCCACAAGAGGGAAATCATAGTCTTGCAAACACATCCTTCTCCCTCCCCCCCCAAAAGATTTTTATTTATTTATTATGTATACAACATTCTGCTTCCATGTATAGCTGCACACCAGAAGAGGGCACCAGGTTTCATAACGGATGGTTGTGAGCCACCATATGGTTGCTGGGAATTGAACTCAGGACCTCTGGAAGAGCAGTCTGAGCCATCTCTCCAGCCCTACATCCTTCTCTCTTTACTCTTCCATTCTAACTTGGAATATTGTCCCTGTCACCACTGATTCAGTAATCCTTTCAGGCTGCCCCCTTCACTAGTCTTTTTTTGACACAGGGTCAAGAAATGTGTCTGGGCCATAGTCAGTCTGGTGACTGCAAAATTAACTCTGTGAGAGCATTGTCACAAAAGGTACTTGGAGTTGCCATAGAAAACTCAACCC